ACCACCAGCGGGTGGCGATTTCTTGTCGCCTGTTGCATCCGCTGCCGCCGCAAGACTGGCAACAAAGAATCGCCGACGCCGGTGGCCCTGCAAGCCCGATAGTGGTGCCACATGGGCAATGTGAGGGGTGGCTACTGATGGCGACTCTGCAAACTGTTTTTGCCAAGCTGCACAGGCATTAAGTTCCAGCTGGCTCAGCGGCCACAGCTCGTCCAGTTCGGTTACGCAGGAAGACGCTGAAAAAAAAAGAAAACGGAGTTTGGGGCAACGTTTGATTGTTTTGATATATAAGGATATATTCTGCCACTCTGCTGTGCATTTGTAATCAAACGACGGTGGCCTGAAGTAAAAAGCATATTGAAAACTGCTGCAGTTTACATAGAAAGGTAAGTTGTTTCATTTTCAACAGAGTATTTATCCCTAATTTTTAGGGAAGTCAAAAAAACTGGTCAAATTATCTCATTTTGAACTTGACTTCATCTTCAAAAAAGGTAGAGTACACAGATAATCCACGCCGAAATATCTAATCAAAGCGCTTTTCGAAGAGGTAACTTCTTATAGAAAGTTTTTTAAATTAATTTTAGACGCATTCATCTTCGACTTTTGTTACGTACATTCACTTTACTCGGTAATAAGTTGACATGTTTGGACGATTCTAAAGTCATGACCCACACATGCAGCTGCATAAGGAGGAATGTTTAAAAACTCATTATTGAGGTAAATGCTTTTAATATATTCCTTATTTCTAAGTTTTCGGTAACTAAGTTGAACAGAATCGGTACTTATGGAGAAACAAAGCAAAACAGTGAAATTCGTAAGGTGTTAAGCAGAAATTTGAAAACAATCTACAGCTCGTTGCAGTCGAACTCTCGAAATAATTATAAAGGAATACCAGAAACGGAAATTTCTTTTAATATACGCCAGATGGTATGAATTTGATTACAAGTACAACCGCAACCTAACTTTTTAGTAAACAGCCGGCTTATCCGTGTGTGGCCTCCAATCTATTTTATTCCTGCCAAGAGCCCGGATCTGATTACCATAGGAAATCTTTTTGAAATTGTAAATAGAAATTCATACAAAGCACCCAAGGATCTTTTCGTGCATTAAAAATGGAAATTTTTACCAAGTATCCACGTTGGGAAAAGAACTTCAGTTAAGGTGACCACATCTATTTCTGACACACTTAATGCCATTTTAAATGTTAATTGAAACCATCTAACGTAGACAAATTTGGTATTTGTACTTATTCTGTATCAGTTTGCCATTCTTTTCCACTTCCAAGCCTTAAACGTACCTAGATTTAACAGTGGACCAGTGACTTGTCATATAGCCATTACCTTTATTTCGAGTTTTTTGTGAAAATCAAATATTTTCATGTTAGTAAATAGTCATTTTGATCCGCCAACCGATGTCTTCTTTTTACTTATGATTCCTACTTTACTGCTATAATAGTTTGGGAGCACGCCGCTTGTGCTGACTTCGCGCTATTGGACATTTATTACCTATTCAGGACATTTCATGAGATAGGGAATATACTGTATGCGTGTAAGGAATCGGTTACGCAGGAAGACGCTGCAAAAAAGTAGAGGGATTAGGGGTGTTAGGAGTCGCCCTAGTAGACGCGCAAACAGGCAGCTCTAGGCAGTCGCGCCCACGCCAGGCTATCGATCCGCATACAGGCGGCGCATGTAAGCTGGCAATCAATCAATAATTTAACATTTAAGGCTGCGGCCACACTAGGATTTTTACAAGCCATCCGGATGAGTTACAATCGAGTCGCCACGTGCTCGAGGACAATATTTGATTGGCTGATGGACATGGCTGTAAACGCGTTTGCTTACCTTAAATATGTTGTACTAAGTAGGCCAAAAGACTTCTGCTTCTGCGCCCCTTCTTATTGCTTCTTCCTTGGGGGTTCAATCAAGGCGTAATTAGGCGGTGGCATCTCGGCCTTGGCAAAAATTACAACAGGGGGCAACGCCTGATTTTTTTATTAAGAGAAAAATGACTTATGTCAGTGTGTGAAGACTCACAGGGTAGCCAGCGGATCCAATTAAAAGTCCGTACTGTGGTTCCGCCGGTCACGATGAGAATGTTGCGGGGTTCTTTTAGACAGACCGTGCGTCCGTGCTGCAGCCGATCGGAATCGGACCTGACGGAGAGCTCGAAGGTCAAAAATTGGGCTCTGGGGAGTTCTTCACCAGGAATTGCTGCTGGTGGTGGGGAGAAAATGAGGTCTGGTACGCAGGCCACACATGAAGCTCGCAGCCAGGGTTGTTCTGAGGCGTGAG